GGAGGTCCAAGGAGGAGAACGTTTGAGGAAGAAGGAAATGGTCAGCCCTAAGGAATGTGGGAAAGAGATTAGAAAGATAGCAGGGGTGGGGTGGGGACCGCACCTCTCTGCATCACAATTCAGGTAGCAGATAGAGAAGGACTCTATAGGATTTGGAAAATCGATGTGCAACCATAGCAATGTAAGTGACTCAAGCAAGGGGCAGGAACAGGCACAACCCACTGGGTAAAAGATTGTAGGAGACAAGGCGGTCACAGACTTGGAATACCCTTCCCACAGATCGCTTATGAATTATAAATGTGAGAAAGACCCTGTCACGTGGAGATCTGGTGGATGCCACTGGATCCAAGTGATCGAGGTTCATGTCATTAGCTGACAAGGCAGCATCGTGCGCCTCCTGGCACTGTGCACTGAGGACGACACGGCATCACTTCTGAAATCCCAGCCTGAATCTAATCAGGAGGAAACATCGGACTGCGGGAGATCCCAGCAGACAACTGGCCCAGCCCCCTGAACGATGATGACGGTGGGGAAACAGGAGCAAGGCAAGGACAATGCGCTCGATGGAAAAGCAGACGTGACCGGAAACGCGATGTGGGATCCCCGTTGACGTCTGCATTTGTCTCTGCCTCCTTGCCACTCCCCGCCTCCTAAAACCCAACTATAAAAGAGATCTTTGGTGAGAGTATAAAATGAGAATGTAAAGTGATGCCACAGATGGCATAGCAGTGCCTAAAAAAAAATTAAGCATAGAATTGCCATGTGATGCAGCATTTCACTCTGGGTACACATACACAAAAGAATTGAAAGCAGGGTCTCAATGAATACTTACTTGTCTACCCGTGTTCACAGCAACATTATTTACAAGAGTCAAAAGATGGAAGAAACTTAAATTGCAGTCTGGATGAATGGATAAACACAATGTGGTCCCCCGTCTACCCACTGGAATATTATTTGGCCTTAAAAAAAGGAAGGAAATTCTGTTTCCTGCCACAACATGGATGAACCTTGAGGACATTATGCTCAGCGAAGTAAGCCAGGCACAAAAGGACAGACACTGTGTGATGCCACTTACAGGAGGCCCCTGGAGGAGTCAGGGCTGTAGAGACAGGAAGTAGATGGTGGGGGCCAGGGGCTGGGGGAGGAGGTTGGGGGGTTAGTGTTTAATGGCAGAGTTTCAGCTTGGGAAGGTGAGAAAGTTCTAGCGACAATGCACGTGAATGTGCTTACTGCCACTGAACTGTGCACTTAGAAGTGGTTGGGATGGTAAACTTTATGTTACGTATATTTTATCACAGTAATAAAGATACGTGGGGCCGTGGGAAGTTGGAGCATGGAGCACGTATGTGGGAAGGCTCTGCTGCCTCTGGGAAAGCCCTGAGAGCGATGATGATGCTGCGGTTTTCCAGGAGAAGCTTCTGATTCTCAGCACATGGGGTGGAGCACAAAGCGTAGCGATGAAATGCTGTGGTGCCGCAGCTTTCCTCAAAGCAGTTTGCGGGGCAGAGGGAGAGAAGAGCAAAAACCGTCAATACCAGCCCTCGGAGAATCGAGGGGCAAGATTGTGTGTCTGTTGTGTCACTCCACTCCCTATCACAGGACTGGAATTCTTGCAAATAGAAAGCCTAAGACAATAAAAGAAGACAAGGACAGTGAGGTGAACAAGGTCCTCCAAACCTTAGAGGTGAATACTACTGTTCTCTCCATTTTACAGAAGGGAAAACTGAAGCCCAGAGTGGAGAAATCACTTGCCTTAATGCAGAAGTAGGTAGGGATGTTACAGTGAGGTGAAACATCCCAGAAGGAATCCGAGGCCGCCTCCTGGTTCAGAAGTGCCCCCTCCAGCCTGACAGCACCACACCTGTGGGGGGCGCTCACCAGCTGGCTCGTGATCTGCTCTTGGCATGCCCGAAGTGCTGCTTCCCAGCCCCCAAGATGAGCGGAGCCCTGAGCGCTGTGGTTGTGCGATTGACCCTTGAACAGTGAGTTGTTCACTAATTGCATAAGCGTTGTAGGGTCCACTTATATGCACATTTTTTCAGGTGACCTACACAGTCCAAATCCATGTTGTTCAAGGGGCAACTGTATTTCATCCTACAGACACTTGGGGGCTGAGGTGGTGCTGGGGCCCTGTGGGCGACTCAGCTGTGGTTCCCCCTACTTCAATTTCCCCCAGGTATAGAGCAGAGCTAGATACAGACCTTTGTACTGCAAGCAGTCAAGACGAGATTCAGGAGGGGAACTTGGAATTGGCTCTGCAGCTTTAAAAAATGCAGCCCTTCTGGGCCCTAGAATGTGGGCATGGCCCAGGCTTGGCCTCTAGAACCTCAAAAGTGCTCAGGCTGGGGCTTAGGACATTAGGGCAAGCAAGACCATCCCCATGTCTCCTCTTCCCCCCCCCAAAAGCTTTCTTTTTTTCTTGGTGAGTTTCTGGTAACTGGGACAGCCAGATGATACCACCCCAAGGGTGGATTCTTTTGTCCTCTGCAAAGGGAAGATCACATACCCAAGCCAGCAGGAACATCCCCACCGCGGCCCAGCAGCAACCCCTCCGGGGAGCTAGGAGCCCCGCTCCAACTAGCTCTGTTGGAGATGCCCCAAGAATGTGGTTATAAGTGAAGGGATCTCTCCCTAGAGCCCCCAAAAGTGAAAAATAAATAATTAAATCTGTCCATTCTGTTCACTCTGCCTCCTCCTCACCAAAACAATTTTTTTTTTCATTTAAAACAGTGGCTCAGCCCTGGCTGGGTAGCACGGTTGTTTATAGCATCATCCCAATACACCAAGGTCGTGGATTTGATCCCTAGTCAGGGCACATACAAAAAGCACCCAACAAATACATCAATGAATACATAAATGAGTAGAATAACAAATAGATGTTTCTCTCTCTCTTCCCCTTCCCTTCTCTCTAAAATCAATGAGTAAAAAAAAAAAAAAAATGAAGCCCTGGCTTGTGTGGCTCAATGGACTGAGTGCCAGCCTGTGAACCAAAGGGTTGCCAGTTCAATTCCCAGTCAAGGCACATGCCTGGGTTGTGGGCCAGGTCCCCAGTAGGGGGTGTGTGAGAGGCAGCCGCATGTTGATGTTTCTCTCTTCCTCTTTGTTCCCCTCCCTTCCCCTCTCTAAAAATAAAATTTAAAAATCTTTAAAAAAATGAATACGACATTAAAAAAAATTGAATTAGCCTCTTCCTCTTCCGGGAACAGTGCCATTAGGCATCGACAGTGGTCCAGCATTGGACAGACTGTGGAGGCTGTCCCACATCACCTAACAACACTAGGCTGTCCCGAACCCCCAGCAATGGAGTTGTTTACCTTTATACCAAAAAGGTCAGGAAAGCACCGAAATCATGTGGCGTGTGCCCAGGCCGACGACTTCTTGGAGTTCGTGCTGTGAGACCTGACGTCCTGGTGGGTTGTCTGAAACGAAAAACCACGTCGGCAAGGCCTGTGTGGCTCCGTGTGTGCTCAATTAGCCGTGACGGGAGCAAGCGCGTTCTCCTTACTGGGGCAGAAAGCTTGTCAAAGTGTTGAAGGCACAAGCACAGAGTCAGAAAGCTAAATGGGAAAAAAAATGAAGCTTTTTTGAGTAATAAAAATAATTAAAAGGCTTAAAAATTTTTTTTAATTAAAAAAATTAGAACAGTTGCATAGCTGGAGCTACCCACCTCCTCTTCTGGAATCTTCCAGGACGCCAAGGTGGGGGCGGCTGCCACCATTCAAGTCCACATGCCTCCTGCCTGAGTCATGGGTGAGGCAGGCACATGTACTTTGCAGCCTGCTGCTGGGAGAAGTATTTTAGAATCACCAGCCCAAGAAAACGCACTCTGGTCCATTCCCCAATTTCTGACCATGCAAGGCCTTGCGGGCCAAGGCATAGTGCTGTGAGGACCTGAGGGAGATTTTAAAAAAATCCTCACCTAAGGATATGTTTTTATTGATTTTAGAGAGAGAGGAAGAGGGAGAGAGAGAAATAGCGACGTGAGAAATATTAGTTGGTTGCCTCTTGCACACGGCCCAACTGGGAATTAAACCTGTGGTCTTTTGATGTACGGGACGAAGCTCCAACCAGCTGAGCCACACAGCCAGGGCTGATGGAGGTTTGAAGTCAAGGGGTGATGTGGCCTGATTTGTGTGGAGAGTCCTTTAGTTGTTTGGGGAATAGGATTGCCAGGTAAAATTTAGGCTGCCCGTTTAAACTGGAATATCAGATAAACAAGGACGTATTTTAAGCTATGTATATCTCTTAAAATGGTGTGGGCCATACTTAGGATAAAAAAAATTTATTGTCTCTTTGAAGTTCGAATTTAAGTGGGCATCCTATATTTTTATTTGCAGGGAGGGGGACAAAGTCAGGATCCAGGAGACCCCGGTGCAGCTGACTGCACTGGTCCAGGTGAGCAGTGATGATGGAAGCAAAGGGGAGGTAGAGTGGCAGAGAGAAACGGCAGGATTCTGGGTAGATTCAGGAGAAAGAGCCCTGTGTCTTGCGGACAGATTGGATGTGGCAGATATGTATGCCTTTTGCTGGGAGGACTTCGGTTTTACCCTGAGTGAGGCTGGGAGAGCCCTGGAGCCCCAGGAGGGCTGTGAGTAGAGGAGGTTGCTGGAACGGACCTGGGTAAGAGGCCTGCAGATGCAGTTCTGGAACTCAGTAACCACCTGCCCCTGTGAATTGCTCCAGCCCAGCTTCTCCGCCTCAGCACTGCTGACATTTGAGTGTAGGTCGGTGTCTGGGTTGGGGCCTTCCTGGACGCTGTGGGGTGTTGAGCAGTATCCCTGAACCCCAACCACTTGGTTCCAGGAGCACCCCCTCCCCCAAGTCACCATCCAGTGTCCCCTGGAGGACAGAACCACCTGTGGTCTGGGCACTGAAAGACCCCAGTGAAGAGATGATTCTGGATGCTCAGATGGCTGGGCTTGGGGAGGTTTAGGCAACGTGCCCTCCACACACTGGCTCCTATGCCAGCCACCTGTGCCAGACAAGAAAAGGGCTGCTGGTAGAGTGATAAAGCTTTTAATATTTAAAAGTTTGGGCACTTAATTCTGGCAATCCTCGCTCATGGATAACACTGACCCCTCCTGTAGCTGGCAGCTGTCCGAGTCCAGGGGGTTGCTGGTGATGATGATGGGAATCTTGGCCTTCACGTTGGTCAGGGACCAGGGCAGGTGGATGGTGCCGACCAGCTCATACTGGGTGCTCATGATCTCGCCATCCCGCATGTCACTGCTCACGGACAGCACCTGCGGGAGGTTGAAGGTGCTGACGATCTTGGTGGTGTTGAAGGGTGTAATTTGGGTGTTGGCCTCTTGCCGGAGCAGCTCACTGCTGTACACCCGTGACCGCCGCTCCGCCTTGGGTGTGAAGCCCTCATACTGCACGTGGGTATAGAGGGCAAAGATGACAGTCTTGATGTACTTGCTGGTCTGGTTGTTGATCTCCGTGGTGAAGACGACCCTCTCCCCTGGCACAAAGGTGTTTTTTTCCATTTGGATCTGCAGGCAGATGGTGCCCTTGCTGCAGCAATTGTAGGAGACCTTCTTCTCAGTCTCCACAAACAGGGGATTCTGGAAGGGGTGGGGTTGGGAGGAATGAATGGACAGTTGTGAGGGGCCATGGCCACAAGATCCACATGCTGGCCTAACATCCCACTATTTTAGCTCCTCCAAGCCTTGAGTCTTTTGGGACTCTCCTAGTAAGAGGCATGGAGATGGAACCTGGAACCTGGAATCTTGGAGATTCTGTAGCCAAAAGTCCAGAGTCATCTCCCAGCTTCCTTTAATCAAAGTCACCTTGCCATTCTGAATATCAATTTTCTTATATGTAAAATAAGGCTATGAAATCCACAAGACCCTAGCTTAATCCCCAGCTCCGTTACTCACTTGCTGTGTGACCTTGAACAAGTGGCTTGACTTTTCTGAGCCTTGATCTTAACAGTCTAAGCCTGAGACTTGGGCTTATTCAAATCGTTCAGATTTAAGAAGGAAATATCACAGACTGAATCATGAAAGTGAACCTGTAAAGCTGAAGTTATGTAACATATTAAAATAAATGCCTCAAAATGCAGCCCATATATCAACTGGTCAGCTGCTGGATTGCAAATAAAGTCACATATAGCCCTGGCTGGCGTAGCTCAGTGGATTGAGCGCAGGCTGCAAACCAAAGGGTCTCAGGTTTGATTCCCAGACAGGACACATGCCTGGGTTGTGGGCCAGGTCCCCAGTGTGGGCCACATGAGGGGCAACCACATGTTGATGTCTCTCTTTCCCTCCCTTCCCCTCTCTAAAAATAAATAAATCTTTAAAAATATTTTTTAAAAAGTCACATATACATTATGTTTAATGTGTGGCTTGGGTAACATTTTATTTTTGATTTGTGGATAATATTTAAAAGATTTCATGTAACGTGGGAAGGCTTAGAACGAACCTGCATGCTTACTCCCCTTAAGCATGAGAAAGAGCCCCCACCTTCCCATTAGTGACCCAAGGTTGGTACCCTGGAAATGACCACGATGGAAATATTTATACCGTGGAAACTGGCAAACGTTACACATTAGGGCTGTCTTGTTAACCCCATGTTCCTGTTTCGTCAGCAGGCAGGACTTCTCCTAACTTGCTTCAGAGCACTGTTCACTTAAGAAACAAAACATCAGTATTGCACAATTGAATGTACTTAATACTACTGAACTACACACTTAGAAATGGTTAAGATGCCCCGTTTGGGTAGCTCAGTTGGTTGATATGCCAAAGTTGTGGGTTTTTAAAAAAATATTTTGTTTATTTATTTTTAGATAGGGGAAGGGATGGAAAAAGAGGGAGAGAAACATCAGTGTGTGGTTGCCTCTCATGCACCCCTTACTGGGGATGTGGCCCGAAATCCAGGCATGTGCCCTAGACTGGGAATTGAACCACCAATCCTTTTTTTACAGGCTGGCATTCAATCCACTGAGCCACACCAGCCAGGGTAAGGTTGTAGGTTTGATCCTTGGTCAAGGTACATACTGGAATCAACCAATACATGCATAAATAAGTGGAGCAACAAATTGATGTTTCTCTCCCTTTCCCTCTCTCTAAAAAAAAAATTGCCCTGGCTGGCGTAGCTCAGTGGATTGAGTGCGGGCCTTTGAACTGGAGGATCGAGGTTTGATTCCCAGTCAGGGCACATGCCTGGTTTGCAGGCCAGTTCCCAGCAAGGGACACACAAGAGGCAACCATACATTGATATTTCTTTCCTTCTCTTCTTTGCTTCCCCTCTAAAGATAAATAAATAAAATATTTTAAAAAATAACAGTGGTTAAGGTAGTAAGTGGTCATGTTATGTAAAAAATACATCACATAAAGTTTAAAATAAAAGTAAATAAAATATCAGCCCTGGTCTGTATGGCTCAGTTGGTTGGCATTGTCCTACAAACTGAAAGGTTGCAGGTTCAATTCCCAGTCAGGGTACATGCCTAGGTTGCAGTTTGATTCCAGGCTGGGCACATGCCAGATGCCACCTTGATCAATGTTTCTCTCCCTCTTTTAATCCCTCCCTTACCCTCTCTAAAATCAATAAGCATGTCCTTGGGTGAGGAATAAATAAATAAATACATAAATAAATGTTTAAAAAATTAAAAAAAAACAGAGACCTGGTTGAAGGCCCCACGGTCCCTCCCCAACGCCGTTACCCACCTTCCTCTCCAGAGGTAACCATTATCCTAAATTTGGGATTATCATATCTGTGCATTAAAAAAAAATTCAAACAATATTAAGAAATACAGCTCAGTCCTGGCTGGTGTAGTTCAGTGGATTGAACACCGGCCTGTGAACCAAAAGGTCACCAGTTCCATTCCCAGTCAGGGCACATGCCTGGGTTGCAGGCCAGGTCCTCAGTGTAGGGTGCGCACCTGAGAGGCAACCACACACTGAGGTTTCTCTCCCTCTCTCTCCCCCTCCCTTCCCCTCTCTCTAAAAATAAATTAATAAACTCATATATAAAAACAACTCAGATACAGAAAACCCTGCAAAGCCAAAAGAATACCTTTGTGAGTTACTAAAAGGCCAGCCCTCTTGCAACAGCCACCCAAGTCAAGAAGTAGAACTTTGCCAGCTTCCCTCAGAGTCCCTCATCTGTGCCCAGCCACCCACTTAGTCCCCAAAACACAACTATCCTGAATTTTACAGTGATTGCTGTCTTGTACCTGCACACGTTTATGTGTAGGGACCTGCACAAGATATGTTGTTTTAGGGGAACAAGTGTGTAAATGATAGTATAAAAATTTAAAATATATCTTTCATGTTTGAGAAGTTAATATTACCAATTAGACTGAAACTGCGGGGTTCCATCAGCTTCACCCTGCTGCCCCTCTCCCCAACACAGGCAGCCATAATCTGACTCTGGCTGTTGTGCCTCCCGTAGAATTTTTATTTAGGAATACACCTATTTTCAGAAGTATACGTTATTGTTTTACATATTTTGGTTTTTTCTTAAGATTTTATTTATTTATTTTTAGAGAGGGGAAAGGAGAGAGAAAGAGAGGGAGAGAAACATCAATGTGTGGTTGCCTCTCACATGGCCCCATACTGGGGACCCGGCCTGCAACCCAGGCCTGTGCCCTGACTGGGAATTGAACCAGCGACCCTTTGGTTCACAGCCCGCGCTCAATCCACTGAGCTGCGCCAGCCAGGGCCTTGTTTTACATATTTTGATGTTTTATATATTTCGAGCTGCATATGTCTCCCGGCCACTTGCTTTTTTCCAGCTCCATACTCCGTTTGGAATGCGTTCACGCTGGTGCCTGTTGTTCTCGTTCATTTGTTTTCATGAATGCAGCTGAGTGTTTTGCAAAATAGTTTATCCATCCCCCATGATAGACATTTATATTGTTTCCATGTGTTCACCATCACAAAAGTGCTAGAAGGAGCAGACCGAAGACAATTTTCTTGAGCTTACACCCACAAGTATCTCTAGGGCACGAGTTGGCAAGCTTTTTCTGTAAAGGAACTGATAATAATTATAGTTTAGGCTTTTCAGGCCGCATACAGTATTTGGCATATACTATTCCTTTACTTTGTTTTATTTTATGAATTTTAGAGGAGGAAGGGGAAGAGAGAGAAACATTGCTTTGTTGTTCCACTTACTTATGCATTCATTGCTTGCTTCTTGTATGTGCCCTAGCGGGGGATTGAACCTGCAACCTTGGCATATCAGGATGATGCTCCAACCAACTGAGGTACCCAGCCAGGGCTCCTTTTTTAAGAAATAAAACCAGAACTCACAGTTAAAACATAGATTTTAACATTGTGGCAAGGAATACAAATCTGTATGTATACTTCACCTACACTGGTGAAAAAGAAGCAAGTTTTATAAAATTTTGTTTATCATTATTATATTTGTGTTCTACTCTATTCTATGTATTCTATTCATTTATAAAATGTTGGTGGCAACCCTATAAGTTTATTTTTATTTTTAGTCTACTTACCCTATTTTATTATTTCACATCAAACAAAAATTTTAGCCCTAGCCAGTGTGCCTCAATGAATTGAGCACTAGCCTACAAACCAACAGGTTGCCGGTTCGATTCCCAGTCAGGGCACATGCCTGGATTGTGGGCCAAGTATCTAGTTGGGGGCGTGTGAGAGCCACTACTCAATGTTTCTCTCCCTCTCTTTCTTCCCTCCCTTATCCTTTCTCTAAAAATAAATAAAATCTCTAAAAATTTTTATAAAAATTAGCTGGTAGTAACCTACTAAGTTTTTGTTCTGGAAAATTCTATTCTATTCTTTCATTTAAAGTTGATTGTAACCCACCAAACTGTTTTTTTTTAAAATATTCTCTTAAAAAATTTTTTTTACTCATTCATTTTCGAGAGAGAGAGAACCATCAATTTGTTGTTCCACTTAATTTATGCATTCACTGATTGATTCTTGTATGTGCCCTGACTAGGGATTGAACCAGCAACTTTGAAGTATCGGTACTATACTCTACCCAGCTGAGCAACCTGCCCAGGCTGATATTTTTTACTATATTTATTTTACTATGTGTTCTTTTTTCACATGTATAAATATATATCTATATCTATATATATATGAAAAGTATATATCTATATATATAAGTTTATACATAAATGTTTGTGATCCACTAAATTGATACTTTCTATTTTGGTCTTGGCTATTCTTTCATTTTCTTCAGAAATATGCTTGCAACCTGCTAAATTGATCTTGCAACCCACTAATGGGTCATGATGAGTTTGAAAAATACTGTTGCAGGTCCACTGTGTTTCCTCTTGGAGACCTCAGGTGACCCTCACCCCTTCTGACCTCAGCTCCTGCCCTCTGCCCGTGGCCCTTCTCTTTAACCTTCCTATGCTTGCCTTCCTCTAGGAAGGCTCATTGTAGGGAGTTTAGGTTATAAATCCCTCTACTCTTATTTGAAATTCTGTGGTGTGCTTTAGGGCCCTGCAGGAATTAAGGAGCTCGCTGCTCTAACTCAGGGCCAAGTCAGCAGTTCTGTCCTGGTCCTGGAGGAGGTGCTAAGAGATTCCAGCAGGGGTCCAGACGCCAGGCCTGACCAGGTGGGGTGGGCCTACGGGCCCTGATTCCCAGTCACATGACCAATGCAAAGCCAACACTGGAGTTCCTGATCCTGAGAGTGTTCTGGAACCCTGTATTTCTTCAGCATATATGAAGCTTCTAGGGCATTCATTCATTTCTCTGGTTTTTATTTGCATCTGCTTGGTGCCAAGTTTAGGGAAACGCATAGATAGCAGTGAAGACCGGCTCCAGTTGAGGGGATGGACACAAATGGTACGAATGAGAACAAACCAGGTCATTTCCGGTGGGGACAGTGATGAGGCTGTGACTGGATGCAGATGGTGGGGTACAAGATAAAGGGAGTGGGGGTAGGGGGCTCCCTTACAGTTGATAGTTAGGAAGGGACTTGGGGATGAGCTTCTCTCTCCCAAGTGGCATTTAATGTTGGAAGAGGAGATAGTTCCCACTTCAAAATTCTAAAGGCACAAAGAGTGGAGGGGGTAGAGAAACTGGAACCCTGTGATTAGTGGTGGGAAGGTAAAATGGGGCCTGACTGTGGAAAAGGGGCAGTTCGTCAAAAGGTGAAACAGAGTTACCACCTGACCCATCAATTCTGCTGCAGGAATCCACTCTAGGAAAGAAGTAGACTCACGCCCACGCAACAACTTGCACTGAAATGTTTACAGCAACGTGATTCATAATGACCAAGAAACGGAAGCAACCTAAGTGTCCACCAATGGATGAGGGGATGCACAACATGTGGCCATTCGTGCATTGAGTGAGCCTTAAACAAGGAGTGAAGCGCTGACACTCCCTGGACCTCGAGCACATGATGCTCAGTGAGAGGAGCCAGATGCAAAGGCCGCAGAGCATGTGATTCCACTTATGTGACGTGTCCAGAACAGGCACATCCAGAGACCAAGGGTGGGGGCTGGACCCAGGGCAAAGGGAGGTTGGGAGTGTCAGCTAAGGGATGTAAGATTTCTTTTGGGGGTGATGAAATGTTCTAAAATCGACTATGGTGATGGTTGCATAACTGCACACTTTAAATGGGTGAATCATAAGGGATGTGAATTATATTTCAATAAAGCTGTTAAAAACAGAAAGTGTAAGGGGAAGAAGTTTCTTTGCTCTTAGCTTCGGGCTCCCTGCCCCCTCCCAGGAGGCAGCATCTGTTGCCAGTTGCTCTGCTCCCCTTCCAGAGATGTTAGTTACACCTGCAAGGAAGTAATTTGTTTTCACCGCCAACGCCAACGGTGCAGGCAAGGCACGCTGTTCTGAACTGTGCTTTTTATTCATTCCACTTAGTCACTTGGAGATCCTGACAAGGAGCGCTGTCTCATTTCATTTCTGTCTGTCTGTCTCTTGATTTACTATATCTGCAGGGGTGTCCAACCTTTTGGCATATCCGGGCCACGCATTAAATACACAAACACTAATGAAAACCGATGAGCAAAAAAAGGTTTTAAGTAAATTGATGATTTTGTGTTGGGCTGCATTCGTTATCATCCGGGGGGTTGGATAGCTTTGCTAGAGTTTTTTTTTTTGTTTGTTTTTGGACTGAGTGCTTCTACTAAAACAATTCCCTTAGCAACAAACATTATACTGTTTCCAATTGTTCTATAAACAGTGCTGTGGGAAGTCAGGTCACACAGGTGAAAGAATATGAATAGAAGAAATTTCTAGAAGTGGAATGTGCATGTTTGTTTTAATATGGATAGATGTGACTAACTTGCCCTGCATAGGGCTTGTGGCAGCTTATTCGGTTATGAGCAGCGCAGGTAAGTGAAGACATGGCTTCCTAGCAAAGATCCAAAGGATGGAAAGGTTACATCATAGTGTTCCTAGCAGAGGGACAGCTTGTACAAAGGCCCTGGGGCAGGACTATTCCTGATGTGTTGGAGGAATAGGGAGGAGGGCCGTGTGACTGGAGCAGTGATCAAGGGGGAGTCAGGGAGGAGGTGAGGGCACAGAGGGGATGGGAGAACTTAGGCTTGTACCCCAAGGAAGGTGGGAGCCCTGTATAGCTGTGGGCAGGAGAGGGTCATCACTTGATTTCCTCTGCTCTGAGAAGGGCAGATTGTTAGGGGTTAAGACTCTGCCTCTACTTGGACCAGAGCAGTAGCCTCTGCCCTGTTCCCCCAACTCCTGCTCTCACGCTGCCCCCCACACTCCATCCTGCCTCAGGACCTGGGCACTGTGTCCTCTGGCTGAAACACTACCCCCATGGCTTTCCCCTTCTCCTCTTTCAATTCTCTACTAAATTGTCACCTCCTCCAAAAGGCCTCCCTCGACCAGTCTGGTTAAAACAGTACTGGGTAGTCAGAAAAAAAACAACAACAGCATTTACATACTCTCAAAACTTCTCTGTGATAACCCCTGTTGCTGCTGTGATAGTGATTTCAGCACTTCTCACTTCCTGGGCACCTCTTGTGTGTAAACATTGTACTGAGTGCTTAGCAGTCCTTACAGGCACCACTGAGGGAAGTATTGTTGCTGCTGTTGTTGTTATTATCATCATTAATTATTCCCATTGTACAGATCAGGAAAATCTAGGCTCTGCAAGGTACTGTTAATTGCCCAAGGCCATCTGGCTAATGAGAGTCTGATGGCGGAGATACAAAGTGGGGTCTGACCCAACGTCAGCATTTTGCCCCCAACTCTTGCCTTGTGTACCCTACACTCCCAGACCAGCTCTGAAACGTGGCCTAGAGAAAGGTCATATTCTGTTCCCTGTGAGTCACACAGGGAGCAGGTGGCCAAGTGGGCCTTGAGTTCAAGCCTGTTCATCTCAGGGCTCACCCCGGCTCCAAGCATCTACCTCTCCCGGCTCCCTCCCAGACCATTCTCTGAGATTGGCTGGCCTAGAAATGATCCTGTTACCCAGATACTAGTGCAGGCGGTGGTAGCAGCAGTGAGACTCACTGCCCGTGCCATACACTCTGCAAAGCCCTGGACTTGCAGGAAGTCCACTCACTGCTCCCTCCACGACCTAGGAGGCAGGCACTGTCTCTATGCCCATTTTACAGACTAGTCCTCAAAGCACAGAAAGACAAGGTCACTTCTAGAGTCACACAGAAGGTAGGTGGGGGCTCTGGGACTTGAATCTGGATCTCAGAAATAAAAACGCCAGGCCTCTCAGCCGTCACTCTGACAGCAAATAAATCTGCAGGAAGGTGAAGTGACTGTGGCCAATGTCCCTCCACCCGCCCAACTGCCGCCTCTGCACCTGTGCCCCCAGAAGCCACCCAGAAGACCTCTGCTCCAGCCTGACACCACACGCCCTTCCTTCCCCTGGGATGGAGGCCACCTCCTTCCCTTGCTTCTTGGAGCGGGGGAGGGGTACCATCTGCATTCTCTGAAGGCTCAAAGCCAGAGGAGAGTCACTGAGTGTCCAAGCCTCCCTTTCACCTAGAGGAAGACAAGGGGGCCTCGTCTCAGTCTTGACTTACTGCAGGGCCAGAGACATTGGGGCCTAATCATTTCTGTGGGGGGCTACCCTGGGCACATAGAGTGATAAGCAGTATCTCTGACTTACTCCCACCAATCCAGGAGTACATCCAGTTGTGACACCCAGTCGTGACAACCACAGATGTGCCCACACATTGCTCAGTGTCTCCTCGGTGGGGGGCAGGGGGTGGGGGGGCAGAATCACCCGGGTTGAGTCCCACTGGCTTAGTTCCTGCCCTGGTTTTTGATTAACATTTGTGAACTCACTGGGTGTGGAGAGCCACCGACACCTTTCCTCCTTCCCTGCCAGGGCCTTCTCTGTCTCCTGTCCTCACACACGCCCCCTGCCTCCTCGGGAGCTTTGGGAACAAGCCCCACCTTGCTCCTCCCCCAGTACTACCTGCAGTGCGTTTTCTCTGTGGAAGTCCGAAGTCCCTTGAACCAACAAGTACGTTCTCTTCTTCGCTAGAATGTGCTCCCGGCCCATGCAGGAGGCTTGCAGGAAGTAGAAGACATGGCCGATTTTGCTGGTGAAGGTAGAAGGAAGCCTGGGAGGTAAGTTGAAATGGAAATCAAAGGTGTGGCTGCCTGCACTTAACCAATTATCTGAAAGCAAAACACACCGATGCCATCAGAAGATTCTAGAAGGGTTTTTTTTTTTTTTTTCATTTTGTCTTCCTCTTTATTTTTTGGTGGGGAGGTAGTTCTGGACCTGGCTTGTCTGTCCCTGAGCTAGGCTGAACTATGTGCTTTTAGGGACCTGAATGACCCATAAATATTGGGCCAAGCGTCAGCTAGACTGGAAGGGGCTGATCCAGATGGGTGACGTGGCTGGCATGGTCACTTGGAGACACTGACTGGGACTGGCTCTGTCCTTCCTTGGGCCTGAAAAACCAGTCCTCAGGTTCAGTTGCACATTCGTACAACAAACTCATCTTGAGCCCCGCTGCCCACCAGAGGCTCCTCCAGGCGGTGTCTGCAGCAGCGAGTGAGGCGGCCAAACGCTGCCCTCGCGGAGCTCAGCCTTCAGTGCACTGTAAGCTCGGCCTTCAGTGCGTGCTTAACATTTGTTGTTGATTGAGTGGCGACTGAGGACCAGGGAGAAACTCACATTGCCCCCATTTCTGTGACCTTATTTTTTTGTGCATTTCTCCAAAACTCTCTTATGATCGTGTTTTCCCCACCTGATGGCAACCCAGTGACAGGAGGGACCGCGTCTGTTTTCTTCACTGCTGTATCCCCAGCACCTGGCATAGTGTTGTGTGCAGCAGGTGCTCAATAAATGTTTGTGAAATAAATGAATGAACCTATGGCAGGCTCCAGGCTAATGCTTTTGAGGGGAGATACAGTCCCTTGGAAGTGGGGAAGGAAGGGTTCCTAATGCTGGGGTGGTACTGGGCAGGGGAAGGTTTTGTTGAACAAACCAACACTTATCAAGTACTTACTGTATGCCCTGCATTACTAAGCCCTTTACATGCCATTAAATCATTAAGTCCCTAAAGAAATCTTATCAGGCAGCACTTATTTCCATTCTCCACACGCCTTAACTGAGACACAGAGAGCCACGTCTTGCATCTTGCCGTTCCTCCCCCAGACATCAGCATGGCCAGTGTCCTGTCTGTCACTCATATCTGAGCTCTGTTGCTCTTCCGAGAGACCCCCGAGACCAGTGACTTACATCTTGTTATTTTCATGTTATGTATATCTGATGCTCACTGTTTTACATGGACTCCCTCCTAGGAAGGAACCTCATTGCCCATTTCTGATGCTCTTGGGGTTTGCTGACCAGCTAGCAGACATGTTCACCTTCCAGACCCAGGCTCCCATTGTGGTTGGGGTTGGCTGCTGGCCTCGTCCTTACCTGTCACTGAGAATGTCTTCGTTTTGTGCACATAGTCGGCCTTGTTGTTGCAAATAATGTCTCTGCTGTAATCCAGGGATGCCCCAGTTTCTTCATTCCACTCCACGTAACCCCTTCCCACGAGCTCCACCTTCACAATGGGGTCCACCAGGGTGCTGTTCAGGGTTAGAACTACCTGCCCTTTTATGCAGGAGCCGGCCAGGTAGACCGCATCCTTGGGCAGCACTATGTCGATCAACTTCACCACAGACATGGAGGGTTAGGCGAGTGGAGAAACATCCTCCCCCCTTCTCCATACCACTGAGACGCTGGGTTCCTTGGCCGCAGTGAGGTCACTGTCTGTGACATCATCCAGCCAGGGTTCTGGGAAGGGGTTCCTACTGGCCAGGAGGAGGGGAGGCGAGGAGTGGGCAGCAGCTTGGGAATCCCAAAGTCCTCACTGTTTTTGTGAAATGGTAGCCTGATCACCTTTTCCTAGAAAATAACAAGCCAACACACAAAAACAACTATAAGATGCCAACATTCCTGCCACACAGGGAACACCTGTCATCATGCCGGGGGTTAGGAGCCTCGTGTGGGAAGAATTCATCCAGTCACTCTGCTGAGGTAGGTGCTGTGAGCCCCAGGTACAGATGGACAGGCATGGCGAATGAACCCAGAGATTATTTTCTGCTGCATGAGATGGCCCCCCAAATGTGGTATATGTGCCTCTCAGGATTCACACACTATTTTAGGTCATACATAATCATTTTCATTTTAATGGTTAGAAGAAAAATTAAAGACGTAGCTGGGGCATGAAGTCGAATGTGAACTGAATGAAGTCCCTCAGAGCAATGTGTGGCCCACCTCACACAGACACCACCCTAAAGGGTCATCCTGCACAGCTGACATTTCTCATCCTGCCTGGTTCTCCTCCATCGGGTAGGAAGTGCCCTCAGATGCGGACTCTGTCCCAGCAAGCTTTGTGTCCGCCAACGTCTACTGGACCCAGGACCAGCTTCAGACAAGGCAGGGGGGAATCAATAAAAGTTTGTTGAAGGTCTTCCCGACCTTCAAGAGCATATCATTTTGCCAAAGGGAAACTGAGATCCTTTACAACCTACTGGTTATTCCTGGTGCCTGATTGGCTTGTGGGCTGGTGCCTATGTGGGAGAGAGACACTGAAACAAAAGAGGCACTAGGAAGGGTCCATTCTCCAGACTCTGGCAGGCCTCCTTCTTCATCTTTGCTGTGTCTCGTTTTGAATTTATGTGATGTCTTTTGTGGACACCAACATCTTGTCTCCCTAAAGGTTTTGTAAGCATCTTTCAGAGATGCTGGGCATAGTCTCTCTCTCTTTTTTTTTTTTTTTTAAGATTTTATTTATTTATCTTTAGAGGGGAAGGGAAGGAGAGGGAGAGAAACATCAATGTATGGTTGCCTTTCATGCGTCCCCTGCTGGGAATTGGCCTGCAGGGAAATGGTCTGCAACCCAGGCATGTGCCCTGACTGGGAATCGAACCTCAGTTGTCTGGTTCGCAGGCCCGTGCTCAGTCCATTGAGCTACACCAGCCAGGGCTTTGGGCATAGTCTCTTATTCTCGTTTGTTAACTAACCCAAGCAACCCCTCTGACTGTCTTAAATGACTAGAGAAATGGGGCCCTGCATCACTAGTCCTTGTGGGCTTGTGTGCAGGGAGAGCCAGACACCTATTTCTGGGTCACTTACCTTCAGATATCCAAGGAGCCTGGGCTGTGCCCTGCACCAAATGTACATGAAGAATGTATTACTGATACGTTCTCGGCAGGAATAGGCCAGGTTCCTGCTGTAGGAGTTCTCCATTTGGAAGGTGTTATTTGCTTCACAGGCCCCAGTAGGCCTGCTTAATACTTGCTCATACCTGTGACGTGGTCTACGCATAGCTGATGGCTGGGCACTCAGAAATACATTTGGCAGTACAGAGTACTGGCAGCACCCTTTTCACAGGGATTAGGATGTGTACATCTTTGGAGGAGGCATGATTCTGTCCACACTGGGGAAATCAAAGAAGTACCAGCGCCAGGATGAAACGGACTCCACAGAGTCAGAGAAACCTTGTAAAAACATAAATGGGAATTATCACTTTTCTATTCACAGCCCTCCCATGTTATGTGCTATTCCCAAGAGAAAGACCAAAGTCCTCCTGGCGACCTGTGAGGTCTTATCTGACACCCTCTCTACCTCCCATCTGCTGTGTCTGTCCAGCTACGTTGGCCTCCTTGCTGCTCTCCCTACAACTCTCAGACTTTTCCCGCCTCTGAGCTTGCCCTCCCTTCCTGGACCCATCTGTCAGATGGGAGAAACTCCCGTTCAGGGAGTTTCTTGGTTTCTCCTGTCAGATCTCAGCTCAAATGTCATCCTCCCAGAGAGGCCCACCTCTGCACCTCATCCTGAATATCCTTTCTCTCCACCCCCACATGGCTACCAGTCACTCTCCAGTTATTGTATGTAGTGTCTGAAATTATTTGCTTCATTAATCATTCCTTGCCTGTTTCCCCAGATAAGAATTTACTCTCCCAGAGAGCACCCACAGGGTCAGCCTTGCCTACTGCTGGGCCCCCAGCTCTGAGCTCCCTGTCCAGCTGCTTTGTAGGTGCCCAGCATGGGTGCCTGCCAAGACTGGCCAGAGCACAGCAGGCAGGGCAGAGGGGGCAGGGCAGCCCTTCCCGCCTGGACAGCCCGGAAAAGGCGGGAAAATGAGGCGGGGAAAACCCAGCAAATAAGTCCCGTGGGTGGGCAGAGTGGGAGTGATGGCGGGCCCTGACACTATGAAATGGGGCTGGGGCAGACCAGACCGGTCATCGGAGTGCAGGCAGTCCGGAGGCCCTCCACATTTTCCTGCAGTGTTTAGACATTGATTCCGGCCTTCCTTACCCTACTAGTCAGTCAAAGCGTGCCCAGGCCGGAGGTGGGGGACGGGTGGTGCAGGAAACGACCTAGTAGGTTTGGGGGGGGGTCTCTATTTTAGGTGTCCGTAGGGCACCCGAGGGCACGCATGGTGGGGGACCCAGGTCCCACCACTGGGCCCCGTTGTACGCTGGGCGCACCCAGCAGAGCGCGCAGCTTGGGCGGGACCGTGGCCCGCTGGGGGAAGAAGGGGGGGGATTGAGGCGGGGGCGCCCCCCACCCCCTTTCTTGCTTCGCGCCACTGCGGCGGCCAATCACCACGCAGGCTCCCGCCCCCGGCGTGGCCTCCCGCGGTCCCACAACTCCCAAACGCCGAGTTTTCGCGGGAAATAAATTAGAGCAGCTGGCAGCGCGGCGGGCAGTGTTGGCAGGCTGGGCGCTCCGGGTATCACGCACGTCCGCGCGGGGTCCGGGCCACGCACGCTGTTCCATCATCATCGTCAGGCGGGCCAGGCGCGCAGGCAGGCGAGTGGTCGGGGCGGCCAGAGAAGTGAGGGGCTGGGAGAATTGGGATGCCAGCTCGGGTCGAGGGTGGAGTGGGGAACTCGGACACTGGATGGTGAGACTTTGCAAAACTTTCCGGAGCGGTCAAAGACGCATGGTCAGCACCGGTGTCCCCACGCTCCGCGCCTTGACTGGTCTGCACGTGTTCTCGGGCTCTACCCCCGCCAAGCCGGAGCTGGGAAGTCGCCCTCAGAATTCCGGACTTGGGCAGGGGCTAGAGGAACATCAATGCAATCCTGCGAGGTCGCGCCGGCTGGGTGGGGGAGGGTTGGGAAAGCCGGTGGGGAGGATGTCAGCCTCCGCGCCTGCGCGCGGGGCGCCTCGCGATTCAATTGTCGCGCCTGAGCCCGATTTCGCGCGCCCTTAGTTCCCCGGGCACAACTGGGCCAATGGGGAGTGAGCGGGGCGGGGCGGCTTGTTGTGGTAGAGCCAATGAACGAGGTGTATCAAGTGAAGGGGGCGGGACCTGGCGTGAGGGGCCCCGCGGTCGGTCCCAGCGGAGGGGGTGGGCGTGGGCGTGGGTTCTCTGGCGTGGCCCACGCAAGCGGGAGGGAGGATAAGAGGGGCTCGGAGGACTTGAGTCGGACTCCGGGGAACGAGAACTGGCGCCCGGGGCCGTTGTGGGGCCGAGGTGAGCCCTGTAGCGCGGGGGTGGCCGGAACGGGGCGGCCGGTTACCATGGTCACCGCGGGACTGGTCCCGTCGCGCACGCGCTCGGCAGGGTTTGGGGGCAGCGGGCACCTAGGGTCGGGGTCTTACGTGTCTCCGGTGGGGTTCTTCCGCTTTGATTGCACTTAGTTGAGTTCCCAGGACTTCTGAAGTTCCGACCCGCTCCGGAGTTTTGGGTTTGTCTCGTGTCAGTATTAATTCAGTGAAAGAAAGAATGAATGAATGAATGGTGAATGAAAAACTCGATCCCTCATCGTTTGGCTGTGTCCTTTCTCCTCCGGACGTTGGTATCTTTTTTCTCTGAAGTAGGGTGTGTGTGTGAGTTGGACTGAGTGGTCCAAGGTGCTGTTTGCCTTCCTCTAATTTCCTTTTCCTCCTAAATCCTACACTGGTGTTAGTCATTTATGCATTAACTCTGTAATTTACTCTGCCAGACCGTAGGCCAGCTCTGGCAGTCTGTGGGTAGTAGGGAGCTGGGAAGGCGTTAAGGGAGTTTCCTGATGTCCACAGACTGGACAAAGCAAGGGTGACCCAAGTATGGTATGGCCTGGTGGTGGCAGCGTCAGAACTGGCTGAGGGAATCCACTCTCTGCTCTCTCAGAACCAGCAGGCACCATGTGGATCCAGGTTCGAACCATGGACGGGAAGGTGACCCACACTGTGGACTCGCTCTCCAGGCTGACCAAGGTGGAAATGTTGAGGAAGAAGATCCAGGAGCTTTTCCACGTGGAGCCAGGCCTGCAGAGGCTTTTCTACAGGGGCAAGCAGGTAAACCCGCCCTTCGGGCTGCTCGACACCCAGCACCTTTGTTCTTATCTCATCCAGGCTTTGCTCCTCAGCGGCCACCAGCTCATACAATCTCCCCCTTCATCCGGTCCCGCTTCGTGTCTCCACAGAAAACTCAAAATGCCTGAGCCAGGAACAAAGGCTTGACTCAGATTGAGACGCTGGGCAGGCAGCTGGCAATCAAGTCTGTAGCATTTAGGCTCTTAAACTTCCTTTTTATTTTACTGCTTTTGAAACTCCTCTCTAGTAATTTCTAGAAAAAGAAGTTGGAGGTGGCCGACTGAGGGCTGATGAATTTCAAGGAAGAGCCTAGAATCATCACTCAGACACTAGGACAGAAGGGACCGGGTTCTTTGAAATACACACTGGTGGGCCACGCCTGCACCAATTAGGGTT